TAATATATTTATTTAAATTATAATTTTATTTAATATTTTTTTATAAACTTTAAATAAACTAATATATATATTTTATAGCATTAGTTTTTGCACAAATTTTTACAAATTTTCAATCAGCTAAAGCATACCAATATTTATTTGAAGACTTATTTGATATTGTTGAAAAAGATACAAAAGAAACATTTAAATTTCAGCATATTCATGGCCAAGGATTAGTTTGTGTAATTGCAGATGAGCATCAAGGACAAGCAATTGGAAAGTAATATTTAATATATACTGTAATATATAAATAGATTATTTAATAATTTATTAATTTTTTAAATAGGTTTTGGACAGTATCTTCATTCGAAATATGGCTATTTGTCATGTGAAGAACATTTAAAACATATTTATAAATTATGTCAAGTTCATTTTAATCGGTAAGTGATTTAATATTAAGTTTACTTATATATAAATTACATATTTTATTATTACTAATTAAATTATTTATACTATAGAAATATTTAAAATAAAGCTATATCTGACAAGACAAAAGAATTAATATATTCTGTTTCTAAATTGGATACGAAAGATGAAGTGTTAAATACATTAGAAAAAATTAAAAAATCGGGTGAATCAGAAGCAATAGATTTTTTATTTTTTACAATTATTTTTAAATAAATAAATCTAATTTAATTTAATTTAATTAAAAAACAGACTGGGTTAAAAGTAAATACAAGCCATGGATATTGGCTAGACTTTCACTAGCATTTACTAAAATGGAGGTCAATATATGGAATCAAACTCCAAATAATACTAATGCTAGTGAATCCTCTCATGCAAATATAAACCAGAATGGCCGATCTTTAACATTATTAGCAGCAATATATTGGTATATATAAAGTCTTTATACTATATATGTATATATTAAAAAACTTCAAATTTTTTAAATTATATCTATAGAGGTGATGATTTTGATAAACGGCAATGGTCTTCAGCAACAACATATGAGCAATATAATATACATGAATCTTATAGAAATAAATCTGAATTAGGTTGTTTAACAAAGAATTCAAATAGAAGTCGTAAGTTTTTTTAAATTTATACAATAACAAATTAATAACAGCATCAGAGTATATTATAAATTTCTAAAACTACCATATTGCAGCAAAATAAAATAAAGAAACACATTTTACATATAAGAGTTCTAAATCTAATACTAATTAGATAATAATTCTGGTTAAAATTCAGAAAATTTGTATTGCGCTCTGACACTGTTATAATTAACATAATTGTTTATACATTATATATTTAGAAAAGCAAAAGAATAAAGGCAAAGAATCTGCCTCAAGATCTACATCACGAAAAAAGTCCAAAAATCGAACATTAAATAATGAAATAAGCGAAGATTTTTCTATACCAACTTCTACTCCTACAACACAAGAACAAACCAATTATATTGAATGGGAGAATAAAAAACTTGAATTACAGCGAGAAAATTTAGCAATTCTTAAAGAAGAAATTGCATTGCGGGAAAAACTCAATGGTTTAAAGCAGTTAAGTAATTAATTATAGCATTATAATTTAAGTCTAATATTAAATAGAAATACTAAATAAGATTTTTTATATAAAAAGGTAGAATTCCGTTTCAATAATATCTTTGACAATTGCTTGCCAAATATTTAAATTAGTTGTACTAAACTGCAAAATATTTTTTTTTAAAAAAATTAGCATATAAGCATAAATAAAAATGTAATACATGAATAAGTACATAGGTTCGAAGTATATTATCAGTTGCTTGAAAAAAAAATAAAATAAAAATTGTATAGAATCGGGTAAAAAAAAAAAATCGTGTCGCTATTTTACACTCAAGTAAAAAAAAAAATCGTATCGTTATTATCAGTATACAATTTGTAGTATATTATAACTTATACACTGTAGATACATACTGTATTGTACGATTACAGTATATACATAGTAATACAGTACCGTACCATACAGTACAGTACTGGTTTTTTAATCGTACCGTACATAATCTGTGTACCCCGGTCAAAAACCAAGATAATAAACAGCAAATTTTTAGTCTTGAGTTATCCTTTGTGTTAATGGGCAAAAACCTCATAATATACAAATATAGAAATCCCAAGATGAAATCCGAGACCATAGCTGTACTCCGTTCTTGGTAAATAGGCAATGTGGTAGCTCACGAAGATACATTAAAATATTAATCGACAAATCAAATTCATAAGTTTAAGATTAATTCAAATTTAGAAATAACTAGAAATATCCTGAAAATAAACATCAAGTAAAATGTTACTGAAGTTAACGCTAAATTAATAAATATATAACAACTACTATATAATTAATTATCAATATGAATTTGACTAAAAAGATCCAATTCTTCCGTGTAGGTGTGGCTTGATTGTTCAGTGTGTATGATTTCTTTAATTTTTTCTGTTAGAATAAAAATATATATTATCATTATAAATACTAACAAGAAATCGACTTTATAAACGACAGATCAAATACCTGTATTTATAGTTCTGGAAATCATATCAGTTGAAAGTGCAATATGTGCAATATCTGGTTCTGGTATATTTAACTCTCCTTTATAAATTTTTTTTAAATTTGTTCTAAAAATATTAAAGAGCTCTAAAGTGCTTGGCCTATTTGAAATATTGGGATCCCAACATCTTTTAATAATTTCTTCATAGTCAGAAGGAAGTTCATGAATTTTCCGAGGACGAAGATTATTTATGATAATTTCTTTTGCAAGTTGTTCATCATATTCTCGACCTGGAAATGGATCACATCTAGTAATAAGTTGCCACATTATTATTCCAAAACTATATATATCTGCTGCTTGTGTATATTTTTCTCCACGCAAAACTTCAGGAGCTATATAAGGAATAATTCCTAATATTTCACCAGTCGAACTTATATCTTTATTTATAGCAAGACCAAAATCACCAACAAGCCAACTGATTTCACTATTTTTGAAAATGTTTCCAGGATGGAGATCTCCATGTATAAATCCTCCAGAATGAATGATAAAAAGAGAATCTGCTATATCTTTAAGTATTTTATATCTTTCATTCCATGTTATTGTAATATCTTTATTATCTAAGAATGATCTTAAGTCACCATCTTTTTGATAATCTAATATCATCATATAATTATTTTGTTCCGGAGTTTTAGTTAAACCATGACATGAAACAATAAGGGAAGTTTGCATAGTGAATGAAATGTGGGCCAATGCCTGAAGAGATCAAATATGATAATACAATGTAAGATATTAAAATTTAAAGCAACTTATTAAAATTTTATTAAATACAAACCTCTCGGAAGAATTTTTCATAGTGATCTGAACATTTCATAGACTTTAAAATAACACGTCTTGGTCCATCTCTTATAAAGCTTTGTTTATATCCATCCCAATTTATTCTCGGACCATCGATCCATGTAGCGACGTAAATATTACCAAATCCGCCTTGGGCTATAAGCTCAGTGTTTTTAAATTTTGTGAAAGGTACCCATTCAATCACTTGGCTTAATTCATTAAAAGGATAATTTAACTGAAAATACTGGATACATTCATCGAGATTCTTATCTCCAGATGTCCATTCAGAAAATTTGCTACTAAGGTATAATTGAACACAATATTTGCAAGTGCTTTCTGAAGTGAGATCATTCTGGCAATGTATGCATTGTGTATTTAACCAATTGAAGTTTTTGTTTTTCATTCTATCATTTTTCTTCTCAGTTTCACAAACACGATCCATACAATATATCTTTTCTTTGGAAGTAAGCAGTTTATGATCTTGAAAATATTGTAATTGTTTTTCGAGAGGCCAAGGCTCTGTAATTGAATTTTCACAAATTAATGAGGCTTCATTTATTATGTCATATACGAATTCTAGACGAATGCCGTTTAAATTATTTAATATTGGATTATTCCTTAAAAAAAAACCAATTAAAATCATGTTGATTAGTTCCGATAACTCTTATTGCAAACAACAAATAAATGAATAAGTACTAACATATTAAATTTTATTTTCGAACGATAAATTATTTGCGCATAAATAATACAAAATACTAGTAAGAACACTTCGTTTTGCGGCACTTAATTAAAAAAAACAACTCTGGATTAAAAATCGTGAAAAAGATGATTAATATATTTCTTAAAGAATTCCAGTTATCTATGACTATCTTTATATAAATTTTGTTAGTTGAAACGGATTCAGAATTTATATAAAAAAAAAAACATTTTCGGGGTTGATTTTATCAAATGTACACCCTAACTCTAACCTAATTTAAACTAGAAATTTCCCACTTACAACATAAATATTTTTTTTTTTGTATCATAGTCAATTAAGCCGAAATTTAAAGGATCGACTAATTTAGTCGACTAATGCCATATCGACTCGAAACACTAAATGTTACTGTATTAGCACGAAATAACGGAGAGTTTATTTTATGCATACCTGTTCAATCAATTTGATTAGATATTATAAATGTTACAGTGAGGAGCGGTCCTCATTAGATAGTAACAGCTTGAATAATGATTTTTTTTAAATCATATAACTAATTAAAACTTTTATTTTATCTCTATTTTAGTAGTTCTAATTGGACACAAATTAATTATCGGAAATCAGTGGTACGTGTCTCAAATTAATTTAATATGAGACACATATCACTGCTTTCCGATAATTAATTTGTGTCTAATTAGAACTACTAAAATAGAGATAAAATAAAGGCTTTAATTAGTTATATGATTTAAAAAAATTGTTATTCATAACCGTTACTCACCGGGAGAACTTGCATGGTTTAGCTCCAATAGTTGATCAAGGGATGAATTCAGAGAGCGTACGTACGTACATCCTTCACTTAAGTACGAAGACAATTTATGCTAAAATCAATTGAAAAAAAAATTAAATCGATTCGTTCTAGACATCTAAAAAAATACAATTCATTCTTCACTTTAATATTAAAATATATAAAAAAATTGATAAATAATCCCGATCAATATCCTGATAACTAGATCCTTAATAATCAATTTTTATATGGTACTACGTACAGTACATATAATTTTGACTCACATACACTAAATATACTTACAGGCATAGTGAGAAGGTAGTACGTATGTAACGGTAATGCAACTTAATAATTGGACAAGTATGGAGTGAAAAACAAGATAAAATTAAACGAAACAAAGGTAAGTCTAAACATTACTCGAAAAATATCCTTGATATTTATTGCACTTTCTTTTTTTTTCTCAAAAATTTAACGCATATAATTATAATAAAGGATATAGTTATAATTTCACTGTCAGAAACAAAAAAAAAAAGTTACCTTTTTTAAATAAAAAAAAACAATAACTAGAATAATTTAATATCATTATAAAATGAATTTAGATTCAGATATAATCTCGGCCATATACGCCATTGTATATGATGCACAAGATTGTATGAAAATGAATAAGCACGGAGAAGCACTTGGAAAATTAGATCTTGCATTAGAATTTGCTCCAAATAATTCTTGGGTGTTGGGAACTCGCGGATTAGCATATAAAATGATGGGTAGATATGAAGAAGCGTTAATAGATTTAACCAAAGCATTAGAAGATGATCCATATAATGTAAGTTACTTGTATAATCGTGGGCAAGTTTATACTTCGATTCATCGATATGAGGATGCAATTACAGATTTGAATGAAGCGTTGAAAATAGAACCTAATCACATTTGGGTGCTGGAAGCTCGTGGTGCAGCTTATTTGGCACTAAATAAATATGATGAAGCACTTAAAGATCTAAACAAAGTATTGAAAAATGATCCACAGAATCTGGTCTCGTTGTCATACCGCGCGAACGTTTATCATGCTATAAATCGCAATGAAGAAGCAATTGAAGATTTAAACAAAATGTTAGAAATTGAACCTAAAAATACTATAGCATTAGAAACTCGTGGGAAGTTTTATTTACAATTAGAACGTACTGAAGAAGCGCTCGAAGATCTAAACAGATTATTAGAAATTGAACCAAATAATCAAAATGCAATAAAAATGCGTATGGTAATTAATTATTGGTTAACTGGAGCGACTGATCATATGGATAAACTGATAGAGGATAAAAATTGTCAAGCAGATGCACAAAAAAAGGGAACAATACTCCATTATTATAAAGAATCAAATCGTTATGAAAATGAACTTTTGGATCTAATGAATGCATTAAAAATTGATCCAAATAATATATTGATTTTATGTAAATGCGCACAAATTTATGTTTTAATGAGTCGATATGAAGAAGCAATAATAGAACTGGAAAAAGTAATAAAAATCAATCCTGAAGATGTATGGGCGTTAAAGCTTCGTGGAGTGACCTATTTAATGTTAAAACAATATGAAAATGCAGTTAACGATTTAACTATAGCATTAATTATCGAACCACTCAATATAATTTCTTTGTATTTTCGTGGACAAGTTTTTCATGCGATGAATCGAAACGATGAAGCGCTTGAAGATTTAAATGAAATTTTGGAAAATGATCCCAATAATTCCAAGGCACTAATAATTCGTATTATAATTTACATTGAATTGGATCGATATGAAGATATTCATAGTGATTTAGAGAAATTAAAACTTATGTCGAATGATATAGAAATTTTGAACGCATGTGGAGTATTGAATATCATTCTGGGAAACTATAAAGAGGCACTTTCAAATTTTAATAAAGTATTAGAAATAAAATCTGACGATGAATATGCACTAAAATATCATAAGATATGTAAAAATTTAGATCAAGATGATAATATAAATGATCCATTGAAAAATAAACGATACAAAGAAACATTACATGATTTAAATAGAGAATTTATGAAGCATTACATGTTAATTCTTTCTCAGTCAAAAAAATTTGATCCAGAACATGTTAATTTAATGTCAGAATTATTAGAAAAACAAAAGACGGCAACTCTAATATCAACACGGGCAAATATATTTAATGATTCTAATCGCGATAAAAAAAGTCTTGAATATTACAATAATGCATTAAAACTTGCCCCATATGATGTAGACATTTTGAAAGGTTGTGGATATCTAAATCTCGAGCTAAGAAATTATAAAGAAGCTCTCGAAAACTTTAATAAAGCTTTAGAAATTATGCCAAATAATAAAAAACTATTTGAATTATATGCAATAGCATATCGAAAGGTAAATGATTATAAAGAATCTACTAAATATTTTTATAAAATTGCTGATCTAGAGACTTATGATGATGCGTCGCTAGATGTTTATGGAAAGAATTATTATTTGCTTAATTACTATGAGCAATTTCTAGTAAATTTTACCAAATATTTAAAAATGAATCCTGATAACATAGAATATTTGGTTTATCGTGGAGATACATATCGAATATTAAATCGAAATGAGGAGGCTCTAGTCGATTTAAACAAGGCATTATGTATTAATCCTGAAAATACACTTGCTTTAAGAATCCGTGCTGAAACTTATCGGCAAATGAGTAGATACAATGAATCACTTGAAGATTTAGAAAAAATATTAATGTATGATTGTAAAAATGGATCCGCATTAAGAATACGTGGAGAGTTATATAAGACACTTGGAAGGTACAAAGAATCATTGAAAGATTTTAGAGAATCGTTGAAGATACAGCCCAACAATTTACGTGCATTGAATTCTATTACTATAATTTATCATAATCTTGGTCAGTTGGAAGAATTACTCGAGATTTTAAATAGTGCAGTAGAAGATAAACTTAGCCGTGGAATTGCGTTAAGATTAAGAGGAGCTGCTTATTATGAAATGAATAGATATGAAGAATCACTTGAAGACTTAAATTTGGCAATAGAAATTAATTCGAATGATGCAATTCTATTTGAATGTCGCGGAAAAATTCATGAGGAGATGGGAAATTATGAACAATCTCTTGATGATTTCAACAGGTCATTGAGCATTAATCCGAGTAATTTAAATTCTTTAAATTTCCGTATAAACATTTATCTCAAAATGGAAAAACTTGAAGAGGCACTTGGGGATCTTGATAAATATTTAAAAATTGATCCAAATAATGTTAATGCTTTGAAGGATCGTGCTAACGTTTATGAGAAAATGGGTGATTATGAAAAATCGCTTGATAATTTAAATAGATATTTAGAAATTAGACCAAATAATGTATTTATTTTAAGAACTCGTAGTCATATTTATAAGAAAATGTGCAAATATAAAGAATCGCTTAATGATATCAATAGATCTTTAGAAATCGAACCGGATAATGCAAGCTCTTTAAGGGAACGTGGTGAACTATATAGATTAATGGATAAGTATGAAGAGTCTCTTAATGATCTCAATAGATCTCTAGAAATTGAGTCAAATAACACAGACACTTTAATAGAACGTAGTCGATTATATGGATTAATGAATAATTATAAAGAGTCACTCAATGATTTAAATAGGTATTTAGGAATTAAACCAAATGATGCAGATATTTTAAGAATTCGCGGATGTATTTATATGAAGATGTGCAAATATAAAGAATCGCTTAATGATTACTGTAAATCTCTAGAAATCAATCCAAACAATGTAGTAGTTTTAAAAGAACGTGGGGAGTTATATATGTTAATGAATAACTATAAAAAATCACTCAATGATTTAAATAAATATTTAGAAATTGAACCAGACAACGCACATATTTTAAGAACTCGCGGTTGTATTTATATGAAGATGTGCAAATATAAAGAATCGCTCAATGATCTCTGTAGATCTCTAGAAATAGTGCCAAACAATGCATGTGCTCTAAGAGATCGTGGCGATTTATATAGGTTAATGAAAAATTATGATAAATCACTCGACGATCTCAATAGATCATTGGAAATTGAACAGGATAATATACTTACTTTAAGTATTCGGGGTGAAACTCTTTGGAAGATGGGTAAATTCGAGGAGTCACTCGATAACGTTAATAGACTCTTAATACTTGATCCAAATAGCGCAGCTCTCTTAACATATCGTGGAATGGTTAATTTAAAGTTAGGCAAACATGAAGAATCGCTCGAAGATCTCAATAGATCATTGGAAATTGAACCGAATTATCCATCGGCTTTATCAACTCGTTCTAAGGTTTATAGCAAACTGGGTAAACATGAAGAATCGAAAGCTGATTTAATTAAATCACTTGGTATGATGTTTTCATTTGATGATGACTATGATGATGATGATGATGATGATGATGATGATGATGATGATAACTATGATTATGATAGTTATGATGATAATAATTATTATGATAATTAGAGAATAGTCATTGTATAATTTGTACGTTTTTACGTATATTTTTTATAAAATTTTGCTAATTGATTGGAAATTTGAAAATTTTGATTTTGTCTACATGTTTTTATATTTTAGATTTTTATATTGTCAATGTATTGATATTTTTATTTTATTATTTTTTTTTTTATCAAACTAATTTAACACGATTCATTAAATAATTAATTCTATAAAATAATTGTCTATAAAAAGCTAGTTTATAAATTAATTTGTCTTTAAAGTAAAATGTAAGTAGATTTCTATAAAATAATACGTAGCGTTTTAGGCCACACCACAAAGGCAATGAATGCCCTTTGTAGTATAATGAGATACAGTATAAATAAAATGTGGCTCTCCTTGCTTTTATTTTGGCTTTTAAATCAGCTGGTGACAAAGATTATTCAGGTTAAAAAATACTTATATTTCTAAAGTACATATATGTAACGAATTATTATAAAATGCACCTATGGTGTTTTAGCACCTATGTATAATTTCTTTTAATAAAATTTAGGGTTAGGGTTAGAAAATTAAGAATTATTTTTTTTTTATATAGTATATTATAGAGCTACTATAAGGGCCCGATCTCAGTTCTCGTGAGGTTTTTGGGGTCCTGGACATTTTTACTTAGAGGACCCGATCCCGTTTACTTTGACCTAGTAGGTATGCAATATAATATATATTAATTTAAGAACTGTACTTAATAAAAATATTTATTATCTAGGTATGGTACAGTTAATATTTTAAATATATAGTACGGGATATCTAGTCATATCAAAGAGCTGAATTTTGATATATATAAAATTTTAATAATTAACACTAAATTTTAAAATATAGTATTGAATTTTAAAATTCAGTGTTGAATTTTTTAAAATTTATATAATGTTTAATAGTGCTGAAATTTTTAAAAGAGATTGAATAAAAAAAAAAGAGAGAAATTGAAGTTTGAAAAAAAAATTTTATATACTAATTAATTTATTGAAAAGTATTTTTAATATAAGTGCTAAATTTTTATATTTGAATTTTTTAAAATATTAATAAATTAAAGAAATTTTGAACAAAAATAACTTTTTAATAAAAGAACATTTTTAGAAAAACTTTATACAGATTTTTTTTTTTTTGACGATTATGTTACAACTTTATTTTATATTATAGAGTTTATATTAATAAATATGGAATTTATTTATAGTGTCACGGGCAGAATAAACCGTGATCAACTAAAAACGTGACCCAAACGACGATCGGGTCCCAGATCGGTG